CGGGGCCGCGATCGAAGGGCGGCGGGGCCGCGTGGCAGAGGGCGGCGGGGCCGCGTAGCAGAGGGCGGCGGGGCCGCGTGGCAAAGGGCGGCGGGGCCGCGATCGAAGGGCGGCGGGGCCGCGTAGCAGAGGGCGGCGGGGCCGCGTAGCAGAGGGCGGCGGGGCCGCGTAGCCGAGGGCGGCGGGGCCGCGATCGAAGGGCGGCGGCGGGGCCGCGTAGCAGAGGGCGGCGGGGCCGCGATCGAAGGGCGGCGGGGCCGCTAGGGAAGGGCGGCGGAGCCGCGAGGGGAAGGGCGGCGCAACGGTCCGCTAGGGGCGACACGACGGGTCGCTAAAAAAAAACGCGCCTCGGGGCGCGGTTCGGTGGGCCCTAGAAGCAGTCCCTAGGAGGGAACCTGCTCTGATTCCATGTGAAAACAAAGAACGAGAATGGAATGACTATGAACGAAGAGAGTACAAATAGGAAACCCTAATTGGGTTGTACCCCCTATGGGATACCCCACTATAGCCTACAGAAACAAGTAAGCTATAAGTTCTGACAATCATAGGGCACAGCGAGGAGGGAGGGCATGATAGACCTTGTCGCCTTGACGTTTGGTTCGAGTGTTGCGCATGCCCAGCTTGGTCTCAAGGACGCCGCTCCGCGGGATGGCAATCGCACCCGGTGACCAAGCTTCAGCGCTAGCCAACAGCCGCGGTAGCAAGTGGGCTTTGGAGTTTAGCTCATCACCAGCAGACAAGACCACACCGCGAGCCCTTCAATTTCAAGAGCTCACTCTCATCACCAGCAGACAAGACCACACCGCAAAGCGACCGTCACGGGCTTTGGAGTTTAGCTCTTTTTTCCGCTAAAGCTCTCCCAGATTGTGAGGGGCCCTCGCGACCCGCTGTGCTCGATAAGAAAGAAGGCGTCTGCCAACAGAGAGCGGGGCGCATGGGGGGTAGCCACGACGTGTGGAGGTGAGTGAGTGGCATGGCTGCCGGGCAGCACAGCTTCGCTCTGCTCACGTTTGCAGGGAGCAGCCGAAACGACAGCATGCCTTAACCACGTCGCAACCAGTTACCTGATTCGACCACCCACCTGACACACTCGCGTGCTCCACGCCCGTGCTCCTGCCCAACCCCTGATCATCTAGAAGCTTCTGAGACTCCTCGGCAGACGGCATGTGGCGGAAGACACTGAAGCCGCAGAACGCCCTTTCCCGACCGTGCCCGTGCGAGTCGGGCCAGTCGCACATGGCGTTGGCGACGAATAGACACGACGCGATGGCGTCGAGCTGCTGCCCCACGAAAGTTGCGCGAGAGGCGAGCGAAAAGATCTTCGTCGCCATCATCGACGGCCGCTGCCGCTGGTACTACTGCCAGTGGTGGTGCTGGTGATGCCGCCGCTGGTTCTGCTGCTGCTCCAGGAGATTCGTAGTCCATCGGCGCCGACCCGCCGTCTTCGTCCGCAAAGAATTTGGGACCCATACGCAAGAAGCTCCCATAAGGACTGTCATCCATTCTTGACAATGAGTGCACTGCTGCTATTCTGCGACACAACTCACTGCCTGTTGCAAAGCAGCGATGCTATGAACCAGCCAGGCGACCGGCGGCTGGCGTCTATGGTCGCTCGCCATTTGCCGACGCGCTACGCTTTACCGCACAATAGCAGTTTCATTGCAATCTCGAGCCTCCGCCAATGTCAGCTCAGGGCTGAGGAGCATTGTGGGGTGCGAGCATGCAGGCAACGCAACGCAATGCTCGCTGTCAAAGTTAGAAGAAAGAAAGAGGATTGAACTAGCAGGAATGAGGATACAAATAGCAAAACCCTAGAAGGGTTGTACTCGCTATAGAGCACCCCACTACAGGCTAGAACATAAGATAATATTCTGACACACCCCCATAGCCAAAGTGGGGTGTAATCAGCAGAGCAGGCAAAGCAAAACAAGCTCAGGGTGGATCACAATGTCACCACACATTCTGAGTACAAGCTCAAGAAGAAATAGTTTAGAGTTCACAATTATAAGCAAAGCTAGTGGTAGTCACAACGGGCAAGTGAGGAGGAGGAGGGAGAGTGAGGGGAGAGGAGACAGGAGGCGACGGCTGAAGCTGCAGACACACGGGCAACAGGAGGCAGACTGGCACAGCGGCTACCGGACAGCGCCCGGACTACAGGAGTAACAGGCCCCGCGGCTCAAATAGCGGCGGACGGGCAACGGACCCACGGGCGGCTGGCACAGCTGGCTACGACTGGGCTACCGGGACAGCGCCCCGGACTACAGGTGCTGCTGACGACAAACTGGCAACCTCCGCTCATCCTCCCACACACAGTCCCACCCCCCTGATACACACCCACTGCTACACCACTAGCTCTACTCCCACGCACCCTCCTTAAACCCTAAACCCAGTCTCCCACACAACCACCCCCCTCAGCGACAGCTGCAGCAGTGGGAGACGAAGGAGGAGGAGGAGAAAGGGAGGAAGGCACACCGACCACCCCCATACCCGCCACCCCACAGCTCGCCACTCCCGTCGTCCGTCGTGGCGACCTGAGGGGGCCGCTTGCGGCCCCCGAAGGAGCCGCGACGGGCGACGGGAAATGGGGGAAGGGGAGAAAGGGGGGGGGCCCACCACGGACCTGAGGGGAGGGCGGGGCCGCGACAAGGGGCGGGGCCGCGACGAGCGGGGCGGGGCCGCGACGGTCGGGGTGGGACCGCGAAGGTAGGGTGGGGCCGCATAGGGTCCGGGGCGGGGCCGCGACGTAGGGCGGGGCCGCTTCGAGGGGCGGGGCCGCGACGCAGGGGCGGGGCCGCGACGAGGGGCGGGGCCGCGACGGTCGGGGCGGGGCCGCGACGGAGGGGCGGGACCGCGACAGGTAGGGCGGGGCCAAGCCGGGCAGGCGCACGGGCGGCGACGGGCCGGGGCGGGGCCGCGACGAAGGGCGAGGCCGAGCCGGGCAGGCGCACGGGCGGCGACGGGCCGGGGCGGGGCCGCGACGTAGAGGAGAAGCCCGCCGCGCGCCCCGGGGCGCACAGCGGGCAATGAACCGCCGCGCGCCTCGGGGCGCACGGCGGGATGAAAAAGTAGCAGCGGAAGCAAGGTGGGGACACACCCACAGGATCGATCCAAGGGGATCGACCTGCTCTGATAGCATGTCAAAGTTAGAAGAAAGAAAGAGGATTGAACTAGCAGGAATGAGGATACAAATAGCAAAACCCTAGAAGGGTTGTACTCGCTATAGAGCACCCCACTACAGGCTAGAACATAAGATAATATTCTGACACTCGCCGCCGAAACTCCTGGCGACGCGAGACTGCGCGCCGGACATTGGATGCAGCGCATGATGGCTCGCGGCGATGGAGATTCGTTGTGGCTGAACCGCTCCATCGCACTGGAGGGTTTCCACACGAGATCCAGCTGATGATGGGCATGGGTTGCTACGATGCGACATGCGATGGCGATTCTCCACGTGCACCAAGTTCAAAGGATCCGATGGTCGCACTGTGGAGGTACGAGGTAAGGACGGCCGCGATGGAGACAGCCTGCACATCATTCTACCGCGCTATGATTCCATGAAGTAGTGGATGACACGAGTGGGTGGAGAGGGAGGGACCACAGCTTGAGATGGGACTGGATTGCTTGGATAGAGGTAATGTCGTGCATGGGGTGGAACATCGGTAAAAGAATAACCGATTACCGCAATGGTTCGATGTGGTACACGCGGGGGCAGGCGAAACTCGAATCCTAAAAGTTGAAAAACACCTTGCGAGACAAGGTACACTTTGCGGCGGAACCCTGAACCCCTCGCACATTCCTGATCAAGACCCGCCCCAGTGAACATGCAAATGAATCCCCGACGATGAGCGTACTGCTTCTGCGATGCAACTCACTGGCTGTTTCCTCACCTAATTTGGTCAGGTTTAATAGCGAGCGGTGGGCATTAAGCTGGTGGCTCCTTCTTGCCAGGCCGCCAGGCAACCGTCGGCTGGCATGTATGGCCACTCGCCAGATCCCGACGCGCTGTAGCTTTACCTCACAAATAGCAGTTCCATTGCAATCTCGAGCCTGATCCCCTCACACATCGTGTCAAGTGCCGTTCCACCGTGAAGCAAGCTCAGGAGAAGGCGAGGCGAGTCGTGGCGGAGTTGGTCTTGATCCGATTCGATTCGAATCGCATCGGGCCACGCGTGCGCCCATGGATAGCATGGACTGTATGTCGCCGCGTTATCGGGCTCATTCGTGTGGTGCGCGCTCGCCGCTGTGATGCGCGGATCTGAAAGGATTTGGCGGATCGCGACACGCTGCGCTTACGCGTCCACGTCAGCAGTGCGGCATTGGTTCGGGCTCGGTAATCCGCTCTGTCCGCGCGATCCGTGTGGCGGAAGTGCCAGCACGGCGTATCTGCGCACCTATAGGCTTCTCCGTCACAGTAGCCGTTCGATAGGAGCCTTTCCAGGTCGTGCTAGCCCCACTATTCCGAGGAAGTGCGATCTTTCAGACTCCCAACCACTAGACCATTGGGATAAAAGGGCTTGTTAAGTAGCGGGTCCGTGCGCCCATAACCCCCCAGGCCAACGTGCGTGTAACCCTTCGCTAGGATCAATCGGGGATCATTAGTAGACCTCTGACACCCCCCCGCACTGGGATGCCTGAAGTGCACACACCGGGATTCGAACCCGCGACCTTCACTCTGATACCATGTTAGAATCCCAACCACTAGACCATTGGGATAAAAGGGCTTGTTAAGTAGCGGGTCCGTGCGCCCATAACCCCCCAGGCCAACGTGCCTGTAACCCTTCTCTAGGATCAATCGGGGATCACCAGTGGACCTCTGAAACGATCCATGGTGGCGAGCGAGGCAGCCACGAGATGGAGTGGGCATTGGTTTAGCACCTGCATCTGTAGCTGAAGGTGCTTCAGAGTCGACATCACCAGCATCGGCGTCATTGGCATTGCGATCACTTGGAACATCAGCAACTGATTCTGGGGACATGAGAAGGCAGGGTACATGGGACGGCATGGGAAGTAGAGGTGGCAGGGTAGAGCTGCTGTGGTGCGCGAGAGGAATGGACTCGCAGGTGTGGCTTGTGCACGAAGCGGGGTTGATAATAGCAAATACGAGCTGGAGAGTGGGGACGTGGAGGGCGATGTGCCACGTGGCAGAGAAGCGAGGCTCAATGGAGGGAAAGCGGAGGAATGGAGATGAGGGGAAAGGGAAAAGAGGAGATGAGGGGAAAGGGAAAAGGAGAAAGGAGGGACATGGGAACGGAGGAGAGGAGGGGAAAGGGAAGAGTGGAAATAAAGGAAAGGGGAAGACAGGAGATGAAGACAGAGGGAAAAGAGGAGGGGAGGGAAATGGGAGGAGTGGAGTTGAGGGAAATGGGAAGAAAGGAGATGGGGAGAAGGGGAAAAGAAGAGATGGAAGGAAGGGACTTGGGGAGCAGGAGCAGGCAGGTGGTGGAGGCGACGGGAGGAAGGGGAGCGTGGGAGGGGTGGGTGCGGAAGGCGAGGGCGCTGATGAGACGAGGCTGCACAGCCGGCGGAGGAAGAGGGGGAGGCCACGGAAAGTGGTCTTTGAGCGTGGTGCTGCTGTCCCGTCTGTCGGTGTTGGCAATGAAGCGGACGGCCGGGGTGGTGGCAGCAATGGGGGTGTGAGGGAGCAACAGCAGCAGCAGGAGATGGGCGGTCGTGCTCCCTCACATGGCGGTGGTGCGGATGTGGAGGAGCTCCACCATGCCATCAGCACTGCACGCTCCCAACATGATGGTACCGCTGCCCTCAACACCATCTCCTCCACCCACACGCCCAACTCCAACCCCATACCCACTCCCCCCTCCTCGCCCCCTCCATCGCTACACGTGCAGTTCCAAGACCTCTACTCCACGCACCTGGCGCACATGGCCCCGCCCTTCGCCTCCCACCGCGCCACGAGGGACAACGCCATGACACTGCTTGCCGTGCAACCCCCGCCTGACACCCTTGCTGCCATCTTCCATGCTTGTTCGTCTCTCTTCCTCGTGCCGCTCACCCACCGCATCCGGGCCGCTCTTGAGATATTTTCTGCCCACGGGCTGCCCGAGTCGCTGTTTCTGAGTGTCATCCGGCGGGTGCCTGAGCTGATTCTAAATGCCCAGCAGGATGACGTCAGCAGCAGCAAAACCAGCAGCAACAAGAGCAGTGAAACCCACGAACAAGAGCAAACAAGCAATTCTCACTCAGAGCACCAGCAGCAGCAAGACGCCCTTACCCCTCTCTCTGACTCCCACGACTCACCAAGCAGCACCCCTTCCTCTCACCTCACCCCCACCGATCTACCCCACCTACAGCAGGTGTTGCATTTCCTCTTCCTGCACCTGCCTCCCCCAACTGTCGCCAAGCTGCTGCACTCGGCTGCCTACCGTGTCTTCCGCACGCCCCTGCCCTCGCTCCTCCTGCACCTCTCTGCAATGCAATCCATCCTCGCTCCCCCTCACTCCCTCCTCTTCCGCTACCCACTCGCCCTTCGCTTTTCTCCTGAGATTCCCAAACAGAGGCTTTCACAATTGGCTGAAATTGTGCCGCTGACAGAAGCGCAAGTGGGGGTGGGAGGTGAAAACTGAAGAGGAGGAGGGGATGGAGAGGGGAGAGCGAGAATGAAGATTGGACTTGACTCTGCCTCTTTTCTCCCGATCCCTCCTCTCGACCCTTCTCTTTCATTCACGGCAGATCCAGTAGTTCTCTCCCTTGTGCACAGACAAACACACATCCTCCATGCCAGTAAGGTAACCATGCAGGAGGTGGTAACCACACTCACCACTCTCTTTGGCCCACAAGGCACCTCCTACGTGCTCTCCCGTCACCCAGCCCTGCTCACCATGTCCCCTCGCAAAATAGAAGATGACATGTTCGGGCTTATCGACATTTTTGGCGAGGAAGTTACCTTAGATATGATACAGCGCGAGCTGGGCATACTCCAGGTCTGGCACAGTACACTCCGGCCGAAGATTGATTTCGTGCTTGGGGAGATGATGCGCAGCAAGGAGAACATGAGGGTGTGACCGAACGTGCTGCTGCGCAGCCTGCCGCGCATGCTGGTGCCGCGGTATTTCCTGGTGACGAGGAAGGACCGCCATGCCGCCAGGGTGCTGTCTCTGCCGTGCCTCTTCAGCAACTCTGACGCGCGGTTTAGGCGGAGATGGGAGGTCAGTGATGCGGACTGGAGCAAGGCACTTATGGTGGGAGAAGTGTGGGAAGCCAGGAGGAAGGAGGGTGTGTTGGGTGGTGCAAATCAGTGATCGAGGGTTACACGGTTCAAGCTTGGGGCTTGTATCCGGGGAAAAGTGGTACATAAAGCATTGTTTTACCTAGAATTCATAATGTATAACGGGCAAAGTGTAGTGCAGTTTTCACCGTTTTCCAATCAGGGTGCTACCAATCCAATGGCCATGTAGCTAGGATACACCACACCCTGATCGTCCAGGGTCGCCATAAGCCAAGCTTGAGCCCTGCTCTGCTACCCGGCGGTCTTCAACTGCAAAGAAAGTTCCTTTCTATGGGGGATTACGGTACTCTGTACCCTCTTCACTATTTGCACCGCCCTTGCTAGGAGGTCATCAGGCAGCACCTCCGGCGAGGGGTTGGTCTCCACCTCCTGGGGGACTATTCCCTGCCGTTCCAGCCACTTCACTGCCTCCCACTTGCCCTGCCTCGCTGCGTTGTGCAGTGGGGTCCCTGTGGGAGTGGCACACGGGGGGAGCGCAACGGGGGGAGCGGGCAGAGCGACAGTGGGAGGAAGGAATGAATGATGGGGAGAAGGTGGGTGGGAGGGAATAATAGGCAAGAAGCAGTTGCACTGTGCACAATAGTGCGGAGAGGAAGACGGTAGGGGGCAACAGCAGATGCTTCTCTGTACACTCACAGCATTTGTTAGTGCAAGCACGGATGTTAGCACCATAACGTTGCAACAGTTTCATGCACGCCACATGCCCGCCCCACGCACCTCGGTGCATGGGTGTGCTGCGGTTGTTGCAGCGCACGCTAACAAGCATGCCCAGCCCCAATAGCGCCTGCACCTGCAGTGGCATATGTAAGGGAGAGAGGGGGAGGGCGGTGGAGAGGGAGAGTGATTGCAGTGGCAACCACAGCTGGCGATGTGTGGTGGTGTGGGTGGCCTGGGGTTTGCAGCAATGTGATGCTGGCAGAGTGATGCTGGCAAACGCATCATGTGTTAACACATGCGTCATAGAGGTGCGATGCAGGCAAGGGCACGCAGGTCGGCGCATGCAAGAAGAAAGGGAGCACATGGGCAGGGCATAGAAGCAGAGGACGGTGCGAGGAAGCATGAAAAAGGGTTGTGAAACGCATAGCGAAATGGAGAGGACGAGGGAGGGAAAGGCAGACAAAGGACAGGCGAAAAGAGAGGAGGAAGGAAGAGGAAGGATAAGTCAAGAGAGGCAAAGAGAACCCACCACAAATACATCCCCATCGCGAGCAGCAACATGCACCGCAGTCCTTCCATACTCGTCAACAACAGTGTCTAGCTGCTTTGCATCAGCATCAACTCCCCATGTCTTCAGCATGCAATTCAGCTCCTTCACATCTTCATCTGACAGACCAGGCGCATCTGTATCAGCCAATTCTTGCACACTTGCATTCAACAGACCCTCTTTCGCCGCATTTGTTGACGCTCGCCGGGACACGAACGATATGATGTCTCTGATAAGCGATATCTCGACAGGCTTTGAGGGGGTGAGACGTGAGGGCAGGCGGCGAGGCGAGGCGCGAACAAGAGTGATCTCAAGTGCAACAAGTGCAGGAGTGGGAGACAGAGGGACGATAGCAGAACCGGAGGGAGAAGGTGGAGTGGAAGGGGCAAGAGCAGGTGCAGTGGCAAGGGCAGCAGGAGGGCGGTGGGGTGACGGCAGCTTTGAGTCGGGGACGTAGACGAGGGTGAGTTGCCGAAGGCGACTCGATGGTGATGGTGCTTGGGGCAGTGTGGATCGGCGGCACAGTGGAAGGGGCTTGCAGAGGTAAAACTCCCACGCACTGAGGACGGGCAGCTGACAGGCCGAGCGATGCATGGCGAGCGATGCATGGCGTGGGATGCATGGCGTGGGATGGAGAGGGACACACAAGAGGGGTGGATAAGTCAGAGGACGGGTTATCGAGAAAAGGATATTGAAGGTGGCGAAATGGCAAGGGACAAGGAGGGCGAAGAAGACAGGAACGGTGAGACAAGAGACGAGATGAGGGAGACGGGATAGAATACAGTGGCGGCAACGAGGGAGGGAGGGGAGGGAGGGCAGAGCGAGGAGTGCACATTGGTGCCTTCAAACTTGGTTTGCGTGGAGTGGTAGTCGAGCAGGGTGGCACAGGAGCCATGCCGCAGGCTGGCAGCGGCGCTGGAAGAGAGCCACGGCAGCAGGTGGGGCAGCACATTCACCCTCGCGCTCTGTGCCCCGAGGCTCTTCACCACACCTAAGCTCTCCCAGTCCGGGGAGGAGGGGGCTCCCTCGTTACTACGCTCCATCAGAAAGAATGTTCTTGCCAGCATCCAGTGGGGCCGGTGGTGCGCATGGGACGGAGGGGATGGGGGGAAGGGGACGGGGGAGAAACGGGCGGGTGGAAAGGGGATAGGAGGGGAGGGGATATGGGGATGAGCATGGGGAATGGGCAGGGGGTGGCACGAGCGTATGGAGGTGAGGGATTGGCATAGCTGCTGCCGAGCGACAGCTGCGCTGAGCTCACGTTGGCATGGCGCAGCCGGAACAACAGCCAGCCTTACCATGTCTCACCCACTCACCTGCATCACCCACCCACCTCACACACGCTCACTCACCCCCAACAATCCCGTGCACCTGCTGCATGCCTGTGCGCCTGCCCAACCCTGTTCATCCACGCCCCGCTCACCCACACTCTCCTCGCCCCTTCCCCCCCATCCCCCCTCCCCACTCACCCACCTGCTGGCTCACCGCGCATCTCAAGAGTCTCCGCGGCGGGCGGCAGGGTGCGGAGGACGCGGAAGCCGAACGCCCTTTGCGGCCTGTGCGCGTCCGAGTCGGACCAGAAGCACATGGCGTAAGACAGCCTCTACATTCTCCTCTTTTTGCCACCTGTTATCACTTATTTACCGTAAACCGCAACGACGTGTGAACAATGTCTCAAGTTGGAATAGATCTATCGTTGCGAGCCCGGGTCTCGCGTCGCCGTAGATTCAAGTTGCGAGTGTCGATTAATCGGCTGCTGGACGACCTCATCATCCCCATCTTCCGCTATCTGAACCATCAGTCACCCAATCACTTCAATCATGCGTTGGTCTGTAAAAGATGGAATCGCCTCTCTTACCTTACACAGACGTCCATCGCCAATAGTTCGCCTATCCTATTAGCAGATGCTCGCCTCCTGAAATCCCTCTCCCGATTTAAAGGACTGACCTCTCTCACGATCAACAAGTGTGTTATCGATCCGGACAATGACGAGTTCATTCGTGTCCTAGGACGTGTCTGTCCCAAGTTAACTCACCTTGACCTAAACAACGGGTTTGAGATAGGGTTGACGTATGAAGGTGTAGATGCCCTATTCATAGCGTGCTCTACATTGCAGCATCTTTCTCTTCACATGTCGACAGTTTACACGTCTGATATGCCTCCCTTCTTCTTCAATCTTTCATCCTTGACGGATTTGGATCTGCATGTGAATTTTGATGATCTTTCTTATGGATTCGATGATTTAGCATCCCTGACTAAGCTGACACTCGCCACCTCGTGGAACGACCACCTCCCGGAATCATTCGGCCGCCTCACCAGACTAATTGAGTTGAATTTTATAAATTGTCCATTAATACGACTGCCTGACTCCTTTGGTAGCCTGAAGTCACTGTCAGACTCAGCCTTGGAGTGACTATACTGGACGCTCTTCCTGCCACCATTGGCCAACTTCAGAACCTCCGAGAATTTCACTTGAAAGACAACTACCCCATTACCAGTCTCCCAGATTCCTTCTTCCAACTGACTTCTATCCGAATCCTTGAGCTTGTGGATTGTGAATAATTTATGTCGCTTCCAAGCGCATTGTCCCGCCTCGTTTCTCTCACAATGCTAACCATCAGGAATTGTCAAAATCTGACATCTCTTCGTGACTCCCTCTGCCTTCTTCCCAATCTCCGCATCTTGGTCGTTAAGAATTGTTCAGCATTAGTAGAATTGCCGTGGAGTATGGATCTCCTTTCATCTCTAGAGCATCTCGAACTATGCTACCTTAGTAGCGTTACTCACCTTCCAGATACCATCTCCAGACTTTCCAATCTCCGCACCCTATCTTTCAACTATTGCAACAACGTTGTCAGTGTCTCTCTATCCCTACCTCAGCATTGGACCAGCCTCACGTCTCTTGAGTTTGGTTGGCCATCCAGTTCCATGGGTAGCAGAGAGAATCAAGAAGCATTCTTCTTATCTCTCTGCCACCTCACAAACTTGTCGACACTCCTCCTATTTGGCCTCCTCGACCTTACTACACTTCCTGAGCAAGTGAGGAATCTTTCACAGCTGCAGCAGCTGACTCTATGTTCTTGGCCTAAGCTCCGCTACTTGCCCATGTCAATGAGCAGCCTCACCAGCCTGAGGACTCTCGTGATCATGGCATGCCCGAGCTTTAATGATGAGTCATTGTCCAACATTCCAGATTTGGACAGTGGATGTGTTGACGGAAGATTGCTAGGGAGTGGATCATTTTGGGGGAAGAAGTGAGTGGGTGGAATGGAGAGGGTGCCGGGATGCTCGATATGCTGGTCGTTTCTTGGTCGATCCCATGATTAACGGGATGTGGAAGGAGGCATGGGTAGGGTACTTTTCCTGAGTAGATTAGCTTCCCTTTTAGGATGCACTTTCTGTACTTGCTACAGTTTCTACCTTGCATGTTTTTTATGTTTTAAAGGTTTCTAGATATGGGTTCCACTGTACTGACTGACACGCTGCTTCATTCTGCGGCACTCTCACTTGAATGAGTTCCAAACTTGAGCCGAATCAATCATTGATGTGACACTGCCACAACAATGTGCCTAGCTACCACAGCTGTTAATTTCTGTCGTGCACATGTGTTATGCACAGCAACTGTCAAGAAAGCAAACACCTGGACCGTATCCAGCACTAGCTTCGACGCTGGCATAGTATGGGTTGACTAGAAGAATTGTTGGAACTTCTTTCGGCACTTCAACTCGAGCAAAGGTTGGAGGTGGGCCTGTGATACATGAGCTTGTACGAGTCATCCAGGCTTGTACATTCCTCCCCTTGACTGGTGCTGATGTAGTCTGTTGATTACTCTGAGCAGCTGATGCAGTGGTGGCTGCAACCTGTGGAGGAGCAGCGGCAGGACGTTGAGGTGCTGTTTGTTGACGTTGAGCACAATGATCATGTGAGTGACCAGATGTCTTACAGTTGTGACAAAACAGGGGTACGTAGTGTCAGAACATATCTATAGCTTATACTGCTGTGTAGGCTGTAGTGGGGTATCCCATAGGGGGTACAACCCAGTTAGGGTTTCATATTTGTACTGCTTTCATTCATAGTTCACTCATTCCTGTTTTCCTACTTTCACATGGTATAGAGCGGGTCCTACCTTAGGACCGTTGTCTGGGCCCACCGACGCGCGCCCCGAGGCGCGCCCTTTTTTTTAGCGACCCCTCGGGTCGCCTTTTCACTCGCGGCCCCGCCGCCTCCTCTGACGCGGCTTTGCCGCCTCCCCTGACGCGGCCCTGCCGCCTCCCTTGACGCGGCCCCGCCGCCTCCCTTGACGCGGCCCCGCCGCCTCCCCTGACGCGGCCCCGCCGCCTCCCCTGCCGAGGCCCCGCCGCCTCCCCTGACGCGACTCCGCCGCCTCCCCTGACGCGGCCCCGCCGCCTCCCCTGACGCGGCCAAGCCGCCTCCTCTGACGCGGCTCCGCCTCTACTGCCGACGGCCCCGCCGCTGCACTCTACGGCCCGCCGCTGCACCCTGCCGGCCCGTCGCTGCTCCTGCCGGCCCGCCGCTGCACCCTGCCGGCCCGCCGCTGCTCCTGCCGGCTCGCCGCTGCACCTACCGGCCCGCCGCTGCACCCATCGGCCCGCCGCCTCTTACGGCCCGCCACTTGCACCTGCCGGCCCGCCGCTGCACCTGCCGGCCCGACGCTGCACCTGCCGGCCCGACGCTGCATCTCCCGGCCGAGCCGCCCCAACAGCCGAGCCGCCCGGGACCCGAGCCGCCCTGTCGCCGAGCCGCCCGGGAGCCGAGCCGCCCTGCGCCCGAGCCGCCCAGCCGCCGAGCCGCCCGGGAGCCGAGCAGCTGTGCACCCGAGCCGCCCGGTCGCTGAGCCGCCTTTCTGCTGACTGCACGACCTGCCCTGCCTGGTGAGCACTGTCCCACTGACACTGCGAGCTCTTTCCCTACTGCTTGCACTGCGTCACTGTCGTCACCATGGCTACCCCTAGTGTCCTAGCTTTTGACGCTGAGGGTCGCGCCATTGATTTTGAGGTCTGGTTAGACGACCTGCAGCTGTTCTTACAGTGCGACAGGGCTGACGACCTTTCTCTCTTTGACCTCACCTCTGGCGCCTCTCCTGCCCCTGCTGCTGATGCTGATCCCGCTGTCCGCTCTAAGTGGGCCACCCGCGATGCTGCTGCACGTCTTGCTGTGCGTCGCCACCTCCCTACCCCTGAGCGTGCGCACTTTAGTCAGTACAAGAGTGCTCAGACCTTGTACGACGCTGTAGTTGCGCGCTACTCCTCCCCTGCCACTGCTGCACTGAGCCGTCTCATGCTTCCCTACCTCTTTCCTGACCTCTCTGCCTTTCCCACTGTCGCTGACCTCATTACGCACCTCCGCACTAGTGACACTCGCTACCGCGCCGCCCTTCCTGCTGAGTTCTGCGCTAAGAACCCCCCCCCCATGTACATCGCTCTCTACTACGTAGTCGCACGCCTCCCTGACTCCCTTCGCGTCGTCAGGGACCACTTTCTCGCAGTCTGTCCCACCACTCTCACCGTCGACCTCCTCGAGAAGGCCCTCCTTGCAGCGGAGAAGAGCATAGTCGCTGTAGGTGCTTCTCGTGGTGACCCTCGCACCCCCATCTTTGAGGGGTGCTCTCCTTCCCCCTTGCTGCCCTCTGTTGCCTCTGCTGCTGCTGCCGACCTGCTTGGTCTTGAGTCGGTCGGCGCGGCGTCTGCCCCTAGTGGGAGACGTCGCTCCAGCAAGGGCAAGGGGGGCAAGGGCGCGGGTGGAGCTGGAGGGGGCGGTGGCGGTGGCGGCGGTGGCGGCGGAGGGAGTGGGGGTGGCGGCGGGGCTAGTGGCGGGGGTGGTGGTGGTGGTGGCGGCAGCGGCGGCGGAGACGGTGGTGGTGGTGCCAGCGGTGGTGGTGGAGGCAGCGGCGGAGGTGGAGGCGGCGGAGGTGGAGGCAGTGGAGGCGGCAGCGGAGGAGGCAGTAGTGGTGGAGGAGGTGGAGCTGGTCGGGGTGGTACCCAGCAGCGTAGCGGCGGTGGTGGTGGCCAGCGCTCGCACCGGCAGCAGCAGCAGCGCTCGCGGGACATCCCTTCGCCTCAGCAGCTTCGTGAGTGGTACGCTGGGCGTCAGAGGGGTGGGGGTACTGGTCCCTGCACCTACGTTCTTCGTTCCGGCGACCGCGCGGGTGAGCAGTGTGGGGGTGCCCACGCCACCCAGCGCTGCTTTGGCCGCCTGACGGACGCTTGGCGTCAGCAGTTCCCTGGGGCTAGTGAGATCCCTCGCTGGGATGAGCTTCTCAGGGCTGGTGTAGCGATCTTTG